TGGGCACGAAAGCCTTCAACTACCTGGCGTTTCTTTTAATTAGTTATACTGCTTTTGGGCTCATTTTTCAAAGCCATCTGGCTTTGCAGACATCAATGTAGACTATGAAACATCTCACTTTTCATTGTGGCCCCACAGTGGGGAGCAATCCACTTCAAAGTGTGTTAGGCTCCCAGGGTTCTCGTGTAGAAATAGCTCGCTCAGATTCTTCATTGTTCAGACATCCAAGGAGCCTAGCCATCTAAGAGATGAAAGGATTCTTCTGAAAGCACCATGTAAAGGAAAATATGTGTTCGGTCACACAGTCCCCACAAATGCGATCTTATGCTCCATGGCTGGAAGTCTAAGATGATGAAAACGAAGGGGCTTTAACAGATCTGGTGGGGACCTGGTCAGATAAAATAGAGGTTGGAGGACATATGCTGCCCTAAATTGGAGAATGCTGAGGTGCCCTCCTTCCTGTGAATGCACCGCTCATTCGTACAGAATGCTCCACACCTCAGGATGGCATTAAGGAGAAATGCTTTGACTTTTTTTCCCACCACTGAATACAACTGCAATTATATTTAAAATATCTTTACTTTCTATTATTTTGACAGATTCACTTTTGAAGTTTTCTATTCAGACATTTCAGTAATCCTATTTCTTTAAAAGAGAGTAAGCTGGCTTTTTACAAATCCAGTATTAGGAGAAGGGACCAACGGGTTTATTTGTTTGTTTTCAAATAGTTATCCCATTCATTAGAATTAGAATATTAGCAGAAATGACAACAGAAAACTCAAGGAGACTGACATTTAAAAATTTAGATGTAGAAAAATATTGTGTGGATCAATAACTAGGGCCAAAGTTAATGTGTGTCATTTAAAAAAAGTCATCCTTTCACAGAACTTAACCTGGAAGTTAAACGCAGCTGGTGGTACACGTCAGCAGCTCACAATAGGTTTCCCCAAAGAGGCAGCTATTCTTCTCATTAAGACACAGAGAATAAAGGTCATTGACTGTTGACCCAGTGGCTTCATTGGAATGAATGGAGCAGTCTCAGCACATTTCTTAATGGCCAGAAGACCTCACAGCAGAAAACACAAGTGTTTAGGTCACAATTACAGCTGATTTATAATTTCTGTGGTGAGCCCAGGGACAGGGTGGGACCTCACACCACATGAACTGCATCTCTTCTGGTGTTCCCACACTCTCCCACGGGCAGGCCTGTCCCCAATGGAAGCAACGCAGAAGCTGCAAACTGGCACTGCACTTGTTTCATCAATATTTGGGTTGACCTTGTATGTGTGGGAGGCTTAATATATTCTAGTGGGGGATTAAGGCAAAATAAAAATGGAAAACTGGTGATATTCTGAGACAATTTCAGATAGTGCCTAAAACAGGAGGATAGTATTTAATGATGTTAACATTTTAACAAGGATAAGAGAATGGTGTTAAATTGGAACAACGTTAAGTGAAGTGACATTTTACCTTGGTCACATTTGTAGGCAACCTTGACCTGTCTTAAATTGGTAATTAACATATACAAAATATTTACCTTGATTTGTAAGACCTTCTTGCACCTATTAAAGGTACCATATCACATTCAGTTGTTTTATTTCAGTTTTGATCTAGATTATGAATACTTATGAATTAAGGGTACTTCCAGTTTCCCTCACCTCTTTAGGCCCAGGAAGGAGATCCCTGGCCCTCAGGAATACAGCTTTGAACATAATACTAAAATGTTATTGGAGGCACCATTGTATTTGGCCAGCAGAGTAGTATTATCACTGGCTTACTGTCTTTAAGATAGAGGAGTCGACATAACCTTAGTTGAATGATTTAAATTGACATACATGATTCTTTTTACCCAGTGTTACAGTTAGGGGGGCATTTTCCTCCTTATTCCTCAAGTTGTATGAGCATTGTTTTAATTATTCTAGTGCTCATATTGTCCCAGTTTATCACATTGAGTCCTTGAATCATAGAGGCTTTTTGAATATGTTGGTTGGTACACCTCATAAACTAGAGTATTTCCTGGCTTCAAGAATAAGATACTCTGTTTATTGCCTGTGGACTCCAATAGTCACTCCAAACCCTGGTCACCAATTACTGTTTATGTTTATTTGTTTTATAAAGACAGAATTCTCTATCCTAATTTCAATAAATCTCGCTTCCAAAGTCTTCAGGAATTAGGCAGTCCTGGAGCAAATGAACAGCTTAAATATGTGAAAAAATTAAAAAAAAAAACTTTTACTATTAATCTTACGATACTCTTACTGTTTTCTACTGTGTTTTCAAGTGCCTGTCATAGCCTGTATTCAAAATCAATTTCACTTTAGGTTTAACAATGGAGAATTAACATATGTGCATAATCATATTTAAAATATATTCTAATTACATCTTTTTATATTTATGTTTATCAACTTTTTCAGTTTTGATGATGATTAAAACCTGAGTTCAGGAAACATAATTTGGGTTGATCAAAACACAGCTTATTTGTAAACATGATACACCTTTTATTCAGCACAGTTCATATCATTTCTCACCTTAGATATAATATGATCTACTCCTGGCTTTTGGTAGGCTCAACTTGTGAGATGGCTTCTAATTACCATTTCCTCTGTCACTTACATTTCCACTATTGGTCAGCAGAAGTTCCCTCAGTTTGGTTCAACTGTCTGTTATAGTTCCACCTCCAAACACTAATGAAGGCACCCCTGCTCTTAAGCAAAAAAAAAAAAAACACAAAAAACAAACCAACCTGTTCCAAAACCAATGAAATTTTCCCTATCCCAGTCATGGCATCAAGTTATATTCCGAGAAGTGTACTGATGCTACTAGTGGAAAGTAATATTAGAGACCAAAATTGGGGTACATAGAGTGTCTATTGGATGGTTTCATGTGAATACTGAATGGAAGTCAAAGGTAACCAATTTAAACAGAGCAATTATATTTGGTTTTGACTTAATAAAGACTGTAAGTTCACATAGAAAGTTTAAAATTAACTCCACTAAGTCTTTTTTGATCTTGATGTGAATAATTTAAATTAATTTCCCCCTTTTCTAAATTACTATCTTTAATATTTATTAAAATATTAATAAAATACAAAAAACTGCCACACTAATCTATAATACCATTGAAAGTACTCAGAATCTCATTTTTTAAAACATAATTGTATTTTTTCCAAGTATACCATTCAATAATAATCACAATACATTAATTATTTCACTATTTTTTTTTTGCTGTAGAACTAACGTTTTGTTTTCTAATTAACCAAGTAAACATGGGGAGAATATAGAGTCCCTTTACTTTCACAGGCAAAATACAGACTTCACATGTGTTTGTGTATCTGTTCATTTATAAGACTACTATTATGCAACACAATATTACTATTATTTTCAATAGCAGGGAGTTGTATTGTTTACCTTCAAAATTTTAAGTGCCTTTAGAAAAATACAAAAGTATTTATTACCTTAATATTATAAAAACTAAAATTTCCAGAGCAATTAAGAATGTCAGTGAATACAATTAGTTAATATCACATTAATAATCATTTAAAGAATTGCCAAAAGCTTAAATATTAGACAACTTTACCCAAAATTATAAGTGTGACACTTTAAGTCAACATAAAGTTTTAAAAGAATCAAATCATTAAAGACAGCAAATTACACAGTTTATTTTACACATTGTTACAGTTCATTGTTCACATATTTACACACCCTGAACCAATCGAGGTACAGGCATACTTTATAGTTTGGTATATAAACAAACATACAAGTTGTTTATAGGGTTATAGTTATTGAATACTTTAATCACTTTAGATTTAATGTGATAATCTAATTTTTTGATAGATTAAACTATGTCATGCCTGTGTCCCCAGTTTTGCATCTTGGGGTAATTGTTCAATTATCACAGAGTCAAAGTAAAATCACACTTAAAGAATTAAAATTCACAGAAGAAGTAACCCTTAGACTATTAGTAAATATTTCTAACTGTAATATTAAGTAAAGAGATCCCCAAATTGAGATATGTTTATTTTTTGTTTCCATTTGTTATATATTAATATATTACTTTTTATATTCAAAACATTTAAGATAAAGCTCCCTAACCTTTAAGTTTTAAAATTTAATTTAACCAAAACAGCATGAAAAAGTAAATAAATAAGTGCCTAAGAGAACCATGAAAAGTAAGAATAGACCAATGAAAGAGAACTTACCAGACATTACAACCCACTAGAAAGCCACGGCATTTAAAACAGAATGGTGTTGGCACAGAAATAGGTGCCAGAATAGAGCACCCAGAAATAGATCCAAATATATATGTCATCTTTACAGGTGACAAGTGTAACATTACAATCCCATGAAAAATAAAGGTTCTAGTAATAACTAGGATTTAAGATACTGGTTATCCATCTAGGGGAAAAAAGAACGATAGAATCCTACCTTATATCATGCACAAACCTAAAACTGGAGTAAGATTTGAATGTCTTAAAAAATTGGGAAGAAAATTTAAGAGAATATTTGTATGACATTGGGATGGATGACATAACCCTGAGCAAAACAACTCAGCAGCAATAAAGAAAACAGACATATTTGCTTAAATAATAATTAACAACTTTCATTTGGCAATATACATCATACACAGAGACAAGAACTGTAAAGATGTAGTTTCAAATATAACTAAGGATTAACATTTCTAAAACACAATAGCGCCCAGGAATTGTGAAAGAAAAGTACTATCAAATAGAAAAATGGGAAGTGGGAATGAATATGAAATGCAGAAAAGAGAAATTTGAGTGGATAATAAACATACGAAAATATACTCAACATCAGTAGTAGTGAAGAGAAGGTAAATTAAAGTAATGATCAGAGATTGGGCTGGCAAGAATTAAAAGGAGTGGAGGCATTCAGTGCTGGTGAGGATGTAGGAAATGGTTCCCCGTACGTGCAAACATGAACGGCTACTCTTTTGGGGAAAAATAATCTAGTAATATCTAGTAAAATTAAAAACACACATACCGTTTGACCAAGCAATTCCACTTCTGGGAATCTATCCTATAGGGAAAAAAAAGGACCAGTATGTAAGGATATAGGTACAAAGACGTTCATTGCAGCATTGTCTGTTGTGGGGTAGAGGAAGAGGGAGGACTGAAAATAACACCAATGCCCACCAATGGGAAAACAGTTAAATGAAATGTGATATACCTGTAATAGAGAACATTCTGTAACTACTAAAAAGAATGGAATAAATCTGTAGATACGGACTTGGCAGATTGATAAGGTGAGAAAAGCAAATTGAGGAAGGAGTGCTGTAATCTCATTTGGAAGAGAGCAGCCACTGAACAGAACACCATTCAGGAAGGCACTCGGGTACATGAAGCAAGGGGTGGACACAGACCAGATGAGCAATGGCTGCCCAGACTTGTGAGTGGAGACGGGGCTTGGAAGGGATAGGAATCATTTACTCTCCTAGTGAATCTTTGTGCTGCTTCACTAGCTACTATAAACACTATATTAATTTTATAATTCTCAAAAATATATTTAAGAAAAAATGATTAGCTTTTATTAGTGGTAACAGTAGTATTTCCAGCCATTTACTTTGGTAAAACAGCAGCCTATAAACAAATATTCCTTTCTTTGCTTATGACACTTACAACTGTGTTCATTTTTTTTAAGTTAAGGTATCATTAACATACAATCTTATGAAGGTTTCATGTGAACAATACTGTGGTTATTACATTCACCCATATTATCAATTCCCCCCCCCCAACGCCACTGCAGTCACTCTCCATCAGCATAGTAAGGTGCTATAGAGTCACTACTTGTCTTCTCTGGGTTATACTGTCTTCCCCGTGCCCCTGCCTACATTATGTGTGCTAATCGTAATGCCCCTTAATTTTGTTTTCTTCTTATGACTGAATAATATTCCATTTTGTCTATGTATCACATCTTCTTTATACATTCATCTACTATTGGACAGTAAGGTTGCTTCCATGTCTTGGCTATTATAAATAGTGCTGCAATAAACATAGGGGTGCATGTGTCTTTTTGAATCAGACCTTGTTTCCTTTGGGTAAATTCCTAGGAATGGAATTGCTGGGTCAAATGGTATTTCTATTTTTAGTTTTTTGAGGAACCTCCATATTGCTTTCCACAATGGTTGAACTAATTTACATTCCCACCACATTGTGTTCATTTTTTATTGCTTGCCCAACATCCATTCCATCTCTCTCCTATATGTATATCAGCCATGTGGTTTAGGTGGGATAGACTCTACCCCATTCCCAGGGACTTTTGAATGGTCTAGGCCAGTTCTGTCCACCAGAAATACAACTTGGAGCCACTTATATAATTTAAAACTTTCTAGTAGTCACCCTTAAAACACTTTTAAATAAATAGGTGAAAGTAATTTTAATAATGTATTTGTATTCCAACCCAATATATCCCCAAATCCTGTCATTTCAATATGTAATCCATATACAAATTATTAATTAGGCATTTCACTTTTTTCCCCATATCTCACTTCGGACCAGCTACATTTCAAGAGCTCAACAGTCAAATGTGGCTAGTGGCTACCACACTGGATAGCAATGATCTAAGCTAATGAGAGGAATGCTATAAATATTATGATATTCAAGGGTGAAAACATAATTTAAGATGTCCCCATCAAGAAGAAACCCATAAGGGTAGGGGAAGAAAATCCTCTCCTGATGAGAATGAAAAAGAAAAAAATGACTAACCCTAAAAATCGCAGCCATCGATGAGCTAGGAAGGAAGCCTGCAGAGGTATGAAGGAGAAGTTGAGTCCTTCTGTCAACACTGAACCTCTAGATCAACTCCTGAAAAAGGCCGAGATCTTTTAGTTATAGGAGCTGAGAGTTTCCTCTATTCAGCCACTTTGAGTTAGGTTTTCTATTACTTGCAATCAAAAGTATCCCAATTGATAAAATCATCTGTGGGCAGTGCCACATCCAAACAAGTATTTTCTTCTTAAGTGAATTAACTCAGCTCCACATTTCTTACATTTATTTTGCCAAGACATGCTTGTGTTAAACTAGACTTAGACAATATTATCAGGTGTCACCTGGAACAATGTCCAAAGCCCTCCACAAACTAATTCCTGCTCATCCAGGGTAACTTCCCAGTCACAACACAGAACCCTGTTTCTCCTAGAGGCAACGCAGACATAAGGCATCGGAGCAGTCAGTCAGCTCTGCTCTGGCATTTCACCCTCTTTTCTGGTCCTTCTCCTCTAGACCAGGGGTCCCCAACTTTGGCACTCCTGACATTTTGGGTAAATAAGTCTTTGCTGGGGGTAGGGGTGCTCCTGTATGTTGTAGGATGTTCTGTGGCATCCCTGTCCTCCACCCACTAGATGAAACCCAACCCCAGTAGTAGTGATAATCAAAAATGTCTCTAAATGTCAAATGTTCCCTTAGAGGACAAAATCAATCCTGGTGGAGAACCTTTATTCTAGGCCACCAGTCACTGCAGCAATCATACACAATGATGACAATCCTCTCCGCGTTCCCTGCACCACGGCCTCCCAGGCCTTGTGGCCCTCTCCTCTACCAGGCAGGAACACATGAGGTTCTGGATGTGAACTGTGCCTGATCACACTCTTCGTCCTCTGCTCCTCCTTGGATATGTGAAGCCTGAGCTCCCCATGCAGTTCCATCCAGAAGAAATATGGCTTGTTCCCTCTGATGTCAGCTTGAAACCATTACCTGAGCTGTTCCCAGGACCACCCACCCAACTACTTCTCTGAGGCTGCTCTGACGGGATTTTTCTGAACAAGAACTTGCTCATTTACAGTCATTCATTTCCTCAACTCAATCTCCCCTGGCTGGGTCAGCCGTTTTCTCTGTCAGTACATCTTGGGGGACGATTCCATCCCAATCTCTCTACACTGTATCAACTCACATGTTATTCCCCTTAATTCATCTCTAGGACTAGAATTTCATTATAACCACTAGAAAAGTCTTCACAGCTTCTCAAATTGATCTATTGATTTGATGCAATTTCAATAAAAATCCCACTAAGTTTTTTTTGCAGAAACTGACAAACTGATTTTAAAATTAAAGAAACTAGAATAGCCAAGACAACTATGAAAAAAAAAAAAACAAAGTTGGCAGACTAACATTATCTGGTATCTAAACTTATTAAAAAGCTACAATAATCAAAATAGCATATTGATGTAAAGACAAATAAGTCAATGAAACACAATAGAAAGTCTGTAAATAGACACACACATACTTGGCCAATTGATTTTTCAACAGAGGTACGAAGCAGTTCAGTGAAGGATGGATAGCTTGTTCAATAAATGGTACTAGAACAATTAGGTACTTACATGCAAGAACATGAACTTTGATCCATATTTCACCCTATATACAAAATTAACTCAAAATGAATCATAGACCTAACGTAAAAATCTAAAATTGTAAATATTCTGGAAAAAAAAACATAGGAGAAAACCTTTGAGACCCTGGATTTGGCAAAGATGGCTTAGATGCACCAGCAAAAGCATAACTATTTAAAGAACTGGTAAATTATATTTCATCAAAATGAAAAACTTTTGCTCTCATAGATGCTGTAAAGAGACTGAAAACACAAGCCACAAGCTGAGAGACAATTTACCAATTAGGTATAACAGCCTTATGTATAATGGCCAAAAACTGTAAGCAACCCAACTGTTCACCAGCAAGTGCATGGGTAATCAAAACTATGGTATATCCATTCAATAGGATAGTATTTAGCAGTAAAAATCAACAAACTCTTAACATTTTATAATATAGATGAATCTAAAAATAATTATGCTGAGTGAAAGAAATGAGACAAAAAAAAAGTACAAACAGTATTATCCCACTTATTTAAAATTTTATAAAATGCAAAGTAATCTTTGGGTATAGAAGGTATTAATCATTGTCTGACTGAGCATTCTGAGGTGGAGGCAGTGATTACAGATCAGTTAAGAGTAAACTTGCAGGGAGATGGTATTGCATTACCTTGATTGTGGTGGTGGTTCCACAGGTATGGTATAAACATATGCTAACATTTATTGAATTATATACTGTAAATTAAATACAGTTTATTGTATGCCAATTATACTTCAAAAAAGCTGTTTTGTTTTTTAAAGAAGTGGCGGGTGGGGGAAGGATTGTTAGCTGTTGGGAAAACATTAACTGCTAAACCTCACAGGGTTACACTGCTTTGGGGACAGCTGAAATTGGTTTACGTTACATGTTATTTCATGGGAGGAAGCTGTTCTGGGGGGTTTGGGGGGTTTTTTATTGTTTCAAATTCTGTTGTGTGGTAATAGAAATAGAATTCAGAGTTCCTGGGTGCTTAAGACGTTACAGCCTAGTGAAGTTAAATAGTAATTAAAAGGTATGTGTTCAGCAGGGAGGGGCTAGATAGAGTCTCAAGAAATACCAATTTGAACTATCTTTGCTGTAATTGTCCTTTTAATTATCTCCTGAGACAATTACCACCATCACCAACCATCCTATAGTCTTAACAATATGTCTGACCAACATCTTTCAGAAAAAATTAGAATAGAGAGAAGTGGCCTGAATTTCCAAACATAATAATTAAGTAACATGCTTTTAACCAGATGTTTGACATTTTTCCCTGTGATTCTATCAGAATCAACTGCATTTACATATGAATTAGTAATACATTGGAATCTCACCTAAAAGCCACCATTGTTCCCCTAAAATATGAATTTCATTTATTAATTTCATTTCAGTATATGATGTCAAATGCATTTTAAAAATATACTTCATTGCTTCCAAGCGCTGTTTTAATACACAAGGCCTGGTTTTAGTGTTTAAACTAATTTATCCTAGACATAAAAAGACCTTCTGCTTATTCTCCCAGATAATTGATTCTTGATTTGTTAAGATACTAAACACTATGCTTTACACCCTGAAATATAAAACCCCTGGTGAACTTACTCATGTGCCCCATGGCAGAGCAATACCATCTAGTGCCTCAACAGAGAGGCTAAGGGGAGCTGAGAAAAGCAGAAAAATCTCCCTCCTTTTGTCCTGCTG